TAGAAATTTATTAAGAGTAATAAGTAAACTATAAATCACAAAAGGATAGGATGCTACCGTAGGGTTTGTTGTTGTTTTAATTTTAAAATTATTTAGAACAGATCAATTATTAGTAAGGAGAGTGAATCAGTAATCAAAAACCTCCCAACAAATAAAAATCTAGGATCAGACAGCTTCACTAGTGCATTCTACCAAACGTTTCAAGTAAAACAAATACCAGTCCTTCTTAAACTCTTCCAAAAAATAAGAGGGAACACTCTCATACTGATTATACAAGGCCAGCAATACCTTGATGTCAAAAGCGGACAAGGACACTACAAGAAAAGTAAATTACAGGGGCATCTGGATGGCTCAGTCAGTTAAGCATCTTTTCAGCTCAGGTCATGATCTCAGGGTCGTGAGATCGAGCCCTGTCTCAGGCTCCTCACTCAGTGTGGAGTCCACTTGAGATTCTCTGTCTCCTTCTCCCTTTGCCCCTCCCCCACAAACACACTCTAAAATAAATAAATAAATAAATAAATAAATAAAATCTTTAAAAAAGTAAGTTATGGGACAACATCCCTGATGAATACAGATGCAAAATCCTCAACAGTATATAGCAAACTGAATCCAACTGTACATTAGAAGGATCATACACCATACACAAGTGTGATTCATACAGGGATCAAAGGATGGTTCAACAGCCACAAATCAATCAACATGACACACCACATTAACAAAATGAAGGATAAAAATCATATGAGCATCTCAATAGATGCAGAAAAAGCACCTGACAAAATTCAACATCGATTTATGATAAAAATTCTCAATCTAGATGATATACAGGGAATGTACCTCAATGTAAGGGCCATATATGACAAGCCCACAGCTAATACCATACTCAATGATGAAAAGCTAAAAGCTTTTCCTCTAAGATCAGGAACAAGACAAGGATGCCCACTCTCATCGTGTCTGTTCAAAATAGTACTGGAAATCCTACCGGGAGCAATTAAGCAAGAAAAAGAAATAAAAGGCCTCCAAATGAGAAAGGAAGAAGTAAAACTGTAACTATTTCTAGATGACATTTATATACAAAACCCTAAAGACTCCAACAAAACACAGTCTGTCAGAACTAATAAACAAATTCAGTAAAGTTTCAGAATACAAAATCATTAAAACAATTGCGTTTCCACACGCTAACAGCGAGCCAGATTACTGAGTATCTTTTCTTTTTTTTATTATTTATGTTAATCACCATACATTACATCATTAGTTTTTGATGTAGTGTTCCATGATTCATTGTTTGCGTTTAACACCCAGTGCTCCATGCAGTACGTGCCCTCTTTAATACCCATCACCAGGCTAACCCATCCCCCCACCCCCCTCCCCGCTAGAACCCTCAGTTTGTTTCTCAGAGTCCATAGTGTCTCATGGTTCATCTTCCCCTCCGATTTCCCCCCCTTCATTCTTCCCTTCCTGCTATCTTTTCAATGGGATGCTAGCACCTCCAGGGATTCACTGATCTGATAGAGGTGTGGGGCTTGTCTTTGCTGAGGCTATTTTCCATCTCTGCAGAGAAGTTAACTTGCAGAAAACTAATAGTAGAAGTAATTCCCAACCATAGAAATGCAAATGGTGTCTAGTGGAACTAAACAGTTTTGCCAGTTTTTGCATCCATTTGCATCTATTTTAGCATGATTAATCTCTAACAGTAAGGCACTCTGAATTCCCCTTTGAACCAAATCTCCTTTGAATCAAGTTGTAACACTTGACTGGTTCCTTCATTAATTAATGAGTTAACTAAATATCCTTGGCATATGTTCGTTTTATATTTGTATGAGAGTCATGATTATATCCTCTTTAAACTTTATCTTTCAATAAAATGAATACAAGATTATTTTTATCCTTTCTCAAAAACTCACAGTATAGTAAAAGGTTATACATCCATAACTAACTAGAATGAGATTAAGTATTAAGACATAGATATGAACAACATATTATGATAAGTAAAATAGAACCATTTGGTTCTACTTTTATTCTTATTTTATTTTATTTTTCTATCTGAAAGGTTTCAGAAAGCCTTACATCTTAAGTTACAATTATATAAGGCAGGGGCCAAAACTCGGGCCAACCCAGTCTAATGCCTGTTCTTGTATAGCCCATAAACTAACATTTTTAAGTGTTTGGGCAGGAAAATATCAAAAGAAGGATGATTATCTAATGGCATGTGAAAATTACATAAAATTCAAATATGTGTCCATAAATAAAGTTTTACTGGAACACAGCCATGCTCCTTTATGTATTATCTATGGCTACTTTCACGTTACAATGACAGAGCTGAGTAGCTATGAAAGAGACCTTATGAGGCACTCTCATCAATTCATACTGCTGCTCAGCACACCATAAACTGTACTATGGAGTTACAAGTCCACAGCACTGCAAGTTCCACATGTATCACCATACCACGTGCTTAAAACTACCAATTTGTACACAACATGTAAAAAATAAGCCAAGAAGAGATGAGTGGACTATGAATGTCATGTTTTTAAGGCACAGGAGAATGTGGGTTTCGTTATCAAATAAGATGGCAAAATACTGTGTTTATTATGTGCTGACACTACAGCTGTGCTGAAAGAAAGAATATACATCAAACATTACCAAACTATGCACTCATCACAGTATTCCCAACTCATAGGAAAACAACAATCTGAAAAGTTAGAAAACTCTAAAACAGAGTAAATGAGTAAACCATGACACAGAATTTCTTCACAAAAATAAAAACAAGACTGCATCCAAAGTAAATTCCCAAGTAGATCATTTGTTAGCAGAGCAAGGAAAGCCACTGACTAACTGTGAATCAATTAAATCGTGTTTGACTATAGCAAAGAAATCCAGAGAAAACAAACTGATTTAAGCCTAATAGTCTTTTGGTAAGTACAGGCTTGAAGACTTGAGGGCATTCAGAGCAAATCAAGGGTCAATTTAAAAATAAGGCAAATGATTTCAAGTGGTTTTCCTTAACTCTTGATGAGTCAACAAATGTGACCAATACTGCTTTGTTGCTGAGGAGTCAATGCTGAGTTGAAAGTGGCTGAAGAATTAGCCCCTATGTATAGTCTGCCTAGGACAACTACAGCTGACAATATTCTGAAATAAATTCAACAAACATTAATTCAGTACAACCTGAAGTGGAATCTACTAAGATACTTTATACCAATTTTGGTAAAAAATATGGGTGAAACAGAAAAAGTTCAGTTGGACTTATTTTTAACCTCGGTTACTGAACGCTAAATGGCTTTCATAATTAGTTTTTGCTGCAGATTTGATGCTATTTCTTAATGAACTTAGCCTAAAATTGCAAAGCAAAACATAGCTTATCATACTGTAAGAAATGTTAGAATCACAATCATGAGCTGTCATACATATTTTCCAAGCTATCAAACATTAAAACAAGGAGATCTCCATTAGCACAAAAATTTGCAGTGAACATATTTTCTGAACTCAAACTCCAGTTCCAGCAAGGTTTTTCAGATCATCAGTACAAAGGAAATTTCCACACTGCAAAATCCATTTAACTTTGCAACTGAGAAGCTTCAACCTCACCTTTAATTGGACGTTTGTAATATAATGTTATGCTAAAAGGTAAATATCAAGAGAAGAATCTAATAGAATTCTATAAATGCCTTCCAAGAGACAAATAGACTCAATTAAAATCACATGCTCATGAACTGGTGTCCCTATTTGGCAATACCTGAGTGAAAAGGCCCTTTCAAAAATGAAATATGTAAATCTCATTATAGGTCAACAGTGACATGAATATTTGCATTCAATTTTGATGATAAGAAACACTAACTTAACTACAATTAAGTAAAATCTTATTCTTCACAAAAGGAATTTCACCGTTCTTATTGACAAACCCGAACTGCAAAAAGTTATAATGGATTAAATGTGTATCTCAAACTATCATGTGGAAAACTACACTGCATAGGATTTTTCTACCCAACCCCCAACAAAAACTGCTTTTCCAGCATTTTAGTAAATTTAACTCCATTCTTCAGGTTGAACACGCCAACAAACTAAAATTCATCTTTGACACCTCTTTAGGTCACTCTGTAACATCCCATTCATCAGCAAAAACAGTTGGCTTTATCTGTAGAACTCTCTCCAGAATCTAAGCATTTTTCACTATATCTACCATTCCAGTTCAAGCTACCATTACTGTTCATCTATTATAATAACCTTCTGACTGGTCTTATTTCTTCTTTTGCCTCTCTTTTTAGCCTATTCACAGAAACCAGAGACTTCCTTTAAAATTTTAAGCCAGATCATGTCACTTCTCAGCCAAAAATCCTCCAATGGTCTCCCATCCCACTCAGCATAAGAAACCAAAGTCTTTATAATGGACCACAAAAAACTACATGATCTGCTCTCCATCCACCCAAACCACTCTCTGACCTCATCTCCTTCTACTTTTCCCCTGGCTTGTTCAATTTCAGCCACATGTCCTACTTGTGTTTCTTTCAGCTTACTTTTTAATCCTGTGCCACAGCCTTTAACTCGTTCTTCCAATGCCTAAAATGATGTTTCCAGATAAGCATACTACTCACTCCCTCACATCCTTCTGCTCAAATTTCACCTTCTCCCAGAGGCCTTCTGTGGCCCCTCTATTATAAAGCTAGCAACCATCCTTTTCCACGCTGTCCTACCACTCTGTAACCCCACTACTCTGCATTAATTTTCTACAACAGCACTTACCATCATTTGACATATTATATATTTAATTATCTCCTTCTCCTCCTAACCCATTAAAATATAAGCTGCACAAAGACAGGAAATTGGTGTGTTTTGTTCAGGGCTCTGCCCACAGAGTTTAAAACATTGCTTAGAATAGATTATTTGCTCAATAGATACTCCCTGAATAAATTAACAAAGCAACACAAAAAAAGCTTATAAGGATTCATCAGTTCCTTCTCTTATATAAGTAAAATGTACACATATACATATGCATAAAACTGATTTACCATTGTGCTAAGTGTTTCTTCCCAATCAGGCCGCTCGCGAGGATGAACATTTCTATGTAGTTCTGGAACAAAATCATCCTCTTCAGAATGTACCGAGGACTTCATCTTCCTAGAGATAAAAACATGAGAGACTATAGTAAGAACTCCCAATTCTATGAAAACCTTCCAATGACTGTAATTTAAAAATAGAAAATTATGTCAGATTTGAAGTTTAATGAAGAGCTTTAGTGGTTAGTATTGATTCCCCATTTGTACTCTGGCTTTCAGAGATCTTTCCTTATGTACCCAACACCCGCTTTGATTCCAAAAGATAAATGTAAAGTTAATTATTATGTAACCTTCATGGTCTGTGGTAATTATTATATAAGACTGATTTTATCTGTTTAACACAGTAGGAACCTGGAAAAGATTTGCAACAGCCACCAATATTAATGGAATTGTGCTAAGCATTAGTAAAATTCCAGGATTAGTAAAATTCCAGGATATGGTACCAATTTATGTAGCAGTGTATTGAACTAGCGCTCTTGAGAACAACAATGAATGCTAAACAAAACATATGAAACATCTTGTCTAAAGGCATAGGAAAGCAATCAATACAAGTAGGAGTTCTGGGGCTACATTCTCTGAGATCCCATGAAGCAAATTCCACATTTAATTATTACTTTCATATAAGAGATTTTCTAAATCAATAATGGGAAATAAAGCCCAAGCATAATATTGTAGTCTTACTAGACTAAGCTGGCAGAGGTTGGAAGTTGCAGTTGCCAAAGCAGATGAGGCTTCAGGAGGGAAAATGACCCCTAAAAATACATGTAGCAAAGAACCCATAAACATGGAAATTCCCCCTGAAACCATCAACTAATTCCAAAGCCTACAAGTATGTAGGACAAGGTGCTGAGAAACCTATACAAAAACAGTTGATAGGCAACTAAAGAGCCAACAGGATATTTTAGCAGTCCAGTCGTGCTGTAGAGACAGAGGTCGGCAAGCAAGCACTGTCAAGATGGAGGAACAATGAAGAAAGAAAAGAAACCCTGAGCTCTTGAAACTCCAGAAGAGCCATGCCTTAGGAGTAAGGAAAAACTAGCAATATATGAACTCTAAAAAATCCTAAAACCAAGATTTTATAGCATTAGAAGTGCCAGGAAAAAAATAATAACTCTCTTCAGAGGAAAATAATATTCTACAGATCCTCTGCAAATATTTTATTCAATCTAGTATCAATAAACATTACAAGGCATGCTTTAAAAAAATTAAAAATAAATTTTAAAAAACAGAAACAAATGAGCAAAAATTGGGGGAAAAGTCAAAACAGAGACTCACATTTGATTCAGACTTTAAAATTATCAGAAAGGGACTTTAAAATGCTTATGATGAAGTTCTGCCTTCTGCTTATGATGTAGTGAAAGCTGTAAAAAGCACTACTCCCAGCCAAACAAGAAAAAATAAAGACAGCCTAAGAAATCATAAGTTTCCTTGAATCCATCAGAAAACTGAGGCAACCAGATAGTCTAAACTCTAAAGAAAGACAGGAATCTCCACGATGAGCTGGTTCAGAAGGAATTAATGCTTACAGTAAAGCAGGAAAGAAGAGAGACAAGCTGGTAAAAAGAAATCAGTTAAATTCTCACTGAGTTTTATCAAGTTTTTAATCAAACACTAAAAACATTTATGATTAATATGTTCGATAAAAATTTTTTAAAACTAGATGAAAAGATTAAAAATTTTGAGAGACAACTGGAATCTGGAAAACAATCAAATGCTCATCCTAAAATTGAAAAATGCAGCATCTGAAATTAATAACTCATTGGATGGGTTTAATAGAACAAGTGACATGGCTAAAGAAAGAATTAGTGAACTAGAAGACAGCTCAGTAGAAAATATCCACCCTGGAGCACACAAAGAAAAAAGAGAAATACACAAACATGAGACTTGGTTAAGACAGTCTCAAATATGTCTAAATTAGTAAATCAGAGACAAGGGAGATAATGAAACAGAAAACAAAACAACAGCAATATCTGAAAAACAATTGGTAAAAAGTTTCCAAAACTTCTAGAAGTCATCAAAATAGAGATTCAAGAAGTCCCACATACATCAAGCAGGATAAAAAAAAATTAGGTGTATCTTACAACTTACTAAAATACTCAAAATTTACTTAAAAAACAAAACACTAATTGAAATTCTTACAAGCAGCCAGAGAATAAAAGACAAGTTGACTTCAAAGACGCAACAATAACAATGTAGGAGGACATTTCAATGGAAATGAAAAGATAATGGAGTAAACCTTCAGCATAGTAAGAAGAAAAAATACTGCCAACCTAGAATCTTCTAAAATTATTCATTAAAAGTCATCCATTAGGGGCACTTGGGTGGCTCAGTCATTAAGCGTCTGCCTTCGGCTCAGGTCATGATCCCTGGATTCTGGGATCAAGCCCTGCATTGGGCTCCCTGCTCAGCAGGAAGCCTGCTTCTCCCTCTCCCACTCCCCCTGCTTGTGTTCCCTCTCTCGCTGTGTCTCTCTGTGTCAAATAAATAATTAAATCTTTTTAAAAAAAAGTCATCCATTAAAAAAGCAGGGGAAATGAGGTGTCTGGGTGGCTCAGCTGGTTAAGTGTCTGACTCTTGATATCAGCTCAGGTCTTGATCTCGGGGTCAGGAGTTCAGGTCCCGCACTGGGCTCCACACACTTGGCATGGAGCCTACTTAATTAAAAAAAAAAAAAAAAAGGAGGGAAAATAAGTTATTTTCAAACAAAAGCTGAAAAAATTTGCCACCAAGAGACCTACAATAAAAGAATTAGTAGAGTTCTTTTGACTGAAGAAAACTGATCCCAAAACTACAGAAATTCATGAAAAGCACACTGAAGGAAAAAGTGAGAAAATATAAGTAAATAATGGTTTAAAAACTGACATAAAAATAAAAATAATATCCTATAAGTTTTATAATAGACATAAAAAAGCACAAAGAGTAGGAGCGACATACGCAGTCAATTAATATAGTAGTTGTCTATTGGCTGGGAAATGAAATAAGCACTATTTTCGAAAAGAATACAGTAAGTCAGATATATGTTGCAATTTTACAGTAACTACTAGAATAAAACTAAATAACTGTATAACTAAAAAGCTGATAGAGGAGAAAATCTTTTAAAATAAAACATGCTTGATTAACCCAGAAGAAAGCAGAGAAAGGAAGAACAAAGGTACAAAGAAAGAACAAGACAAATTAAAAAGTAAGTATGAAGGTGGCAGAATTTAATTCAAATATATTATTAATAATTATAAAAAAGGACCAGACTAGTTAGCAAACATGTGGAGCAACTGGAACCTTCATTCATTGCAGGTAGGAATTTAAATGGCACAGCCAACGGTAGAAAATAGTTTGACAGTTTCTCAAAATATTAAATAGAGAAATACCATATAATTCAGCAGTTCCATTCCTAAATATTTAACCAAGAAAAATAAAAACATATGTCCACCATGAACTTATACATGAATATTCATACCAGTATTATTTATAATATCCAAAAAGTAGAAACAACCAAAATGTTTATCACCTGAAGAATGGACAAACAAAATGTACCAAATCTACACAATAATTCAACCATAAAAACAAAAAGAATGAAATGCTGATTCATCCTACCACAAGAATGAATAGTTAAAACATGCTACATGAAAGAAGTCAGACACAAAAGACCATTTATTTTATTACTACATATATACAAAATGTCCAAAAAGAGTCAAATTCATAGGGGGACAAAAAGTATATTTGGTGGTTGCCAGGGGCTGGGAAGAGGAAGACATGGAAAATTATCACAGGCATACCTCATTTCATTGCTCTTCACTTTATTATACTTCACAAATACTGCATTTTTTTACAAATTGAAGGTTTGTTGTAACCCCTTGTTGAGGAAGTCTATCAGCACCATTTTTCCAACAGCACTTGCTCACTTCATGTCTTTGTTACATTTTAGTAATTCCCAGTATTTCAAACTTTTTCATTGCTATTGTATTTGTTATTGCAATCTGTAATCTGTTATCTCTGATTTTATCATTATAATTGTTTTAGGGTGCCACTAACTATGCTACATAAGATACCAAACCTAATAAATGCATTTTTCTGATCCCCCCACCAACTGGCCATTGTGTTCTGACTGCTCCACCAATCAGCCATTCCCCCTACCTCTCTCCCCCTCCTCATACCTCCCTATTCTGAGACAAAACAATATAGATATTAGGCCAATTAATAACTCTAAAATAGTCTCTAAGTATTCAAGTGAAAGAAGAGTCAAATGTCTCTCACTTTATTTTTAAAATTTTTTTTTTTTTTAGAGGAGAGTAAGGGGAGGGTCAGAGGGAAAAGGAGAGAGAGAATCTTAAGCAGGCTCCGTACCCAGCACAGAACCGGATGCGGGACTCGATCTCACAACCCTGAGATCATGAACTGAGCCAAAATCAAGAGTCAGATACTTAACCGTCTGAGCCACCCAAGCACCCCTTTTTTTCCCCAAATGCCTCTCACTTTATATCAAAAGCTAGAAATTATTAAGTTTAGTAGAGAAGTTGTGTCAAAAGCCAAGATAAGCCAAAAGCTAGGTCTCTTATGTCAAATAGAAAATTCTTGCATTTCCTACTCAAGCAAACACACAGATGATAAAAGAGCAAAACAGCCTTATCACTCATAGGGAGAAAATTTTAATGGTCTGGAGAGAAGATCGAACCAGCCACAACATTCCCTTAAAGTCAAAGCCTAATCCAGAGCAAGGCCCTAACTCTCTTCCATTCTGTGAAGGCTGAGAGAGATGAGGAAGCTACAGAAGAGGTTGAAACTAGCAGAAGTTAATTCATGAAGTTTAAGGAAAGCAGCCAGCCATCTCTGTAACAGTGCAAAGTGAAGGAGCAAGTGCTGATGCAGAAGCTGTAGCAAGTTATCCAGTAGATTTAGCTAGGATAATTAATGAAGGTAGCTACACTAAACAATAGATTTTCAATATAGACAAAACAGCCTTAAATTAGAAGATGCCATCTAGAATTTCAACAGAGGTCAACACCTGGCTTCAAAGATTTAAAGGATAGGCTGGCTCTCTTGTTAGGAGCTAATGCAGCTGGTAAC